ATAGGCTTTTTTCCACAAAGGCTACAGTAGGTCTCACTGTGCTATGAACTTTCCATCTATTGATAAATTTAAGTGGACAACTATTCCTAATTAATGTCTTGCTTAACAACTTAACATCATAATCAATAGCGCCGTTTGTGCAAATACGATGAAGCCTGTTAAATAGTCACCTCATCAAACCTCCTTTATATTGAACAAGTCAATAAATTTAGTAACTAAAGTATTGTCCTGTCCGCGTTGTTTATCAAAAAATGGATCGTTTGATTGAGCCATCTTCTAGCTTATTAGAAGTATATCCAGGTACAGAGGCTGGTCGTTCTTCTCCTCTTCGCATGAGAAAGTGATATGAATTTGAATAGTGTCAAGTTTATTCAATAAAATGTTAATGTCATCATTTATTTCATAGAAGGTTTTAGGCAATCAAGAAAGCTTCTCGCAATAGACATGACAAGCTCAGGTAACATTAAAAGCATTTTAGCTAATCAGCGTTTGATTAGAAATTTTGTTAGAAATATCACGGAAATGAAAAGTCACATATTGACTTTGTGATTGGCTGATTACTACATTGCTACTATGTTTGGTTGAATTCTAGAATTTTCAGGAAAACCTAAGGACTTCTAAAATACTACAAAAACCCTTTATTTTCTGTACATAACTGACACTTTGAAGTAAAGTGCTTCTCGTATATTTTGCACTCGTGTTCAAGTCGCTGTGTGGATTTAGCTTGAGGGTTACGAGACTAGCTTAGGATCCGAATATAGCGTGAGTGCGTGCCCTGTTTATTATAAGATGTGATGAACCCCAACAATGGGAAAAACCTATTCGTTCGTGGGAGAGGCTGCACGCAGATTTCTCCGGCCCATTGCAGGAAGAATGTTTCTCGTCATATAGGACGCACTAGCAAAATGGCAACAAACTTACTACATGGCAAATTTCACAGCCAGTGAAACGGCCAGCAAGTTATCTCAACTGTTTAGTTGCTTTGTAGTTCCGGAGACTTTAGTGACCGATGATGGCTCACAAGTCACTGCAGAATCATTCAAGCACTTCTGCAACATTATTGGAATTGTACATATACGCTCTCCACTCTATCAGCTTCAACCAAATGGACAGCGCTTCGTCGACACATTTAAAAGAGCACTACTGGAAAAGGAAAAGAGAATGGGAAATGTTCTATACAAGGTGCGTGAGAATTTCGAAACGCGCATTAGACACATTAATCAAATAGACTGAGAAAAAAAGGATTCTAGACACCCTAGACAGTCGAGTGAGGCTTTCGCTAGCGATAATTACAGATACTCCAATGACAGGAACCACAACAGACACTCATAGACGCTGGATACCAAGGAAGTCCGAACGCCGCAGAAAACCAGTTACTAAGCTGCAAGTAGACCGGAAGAAAAAGTCTTATTTCTTGAAAGGGGGAAACTGTTGGAGCGATCCCGAAAATTTCTCTTAATAGACATGACAAGCTCAGGAACACATTAAGAAGCATTCTATTCAATCAGCGTTGGACTAGACGTTTCGCTAGAAACACCACTAAAATGAAAAGTCACATGTGGACTTTGTGGTGTGGTGTGGTGTGGAGTTGTCTGCTTATTTATAAAACACGTCTGTCTGAAATATACCATTCACACAGTGGAGTTTGATGATTGTGTCCTGGACTGAACGAGATGCGTTAGAAGAAAACGTACTACAGAAAGGACTAATGTGGACTAACAGTTGACACATAGCTGGTCGTACTGGTTAACATGTCATCGGTTCAACACAGGTACAAGGTCATATGAGCAGGTGTTTCACCTTGAGATATTCTCGTTCCATAGAACTTAGCTGTGGTACATAGATCAAATTATTCTCTTCCGGAAGTTACTGTAGTAATGCATATAAATTGAACATTTTAATAACATGTAATGACTTAAAAAAGTACTAGGTATCATCCTTTGCCCACAGATTATAATAAACTGAGTCACTAAAACTCCATGATTTCGCAGAACCAATGTATTTATTGTTTCCGTCTGTTGAACGATATGGAAAAATTGACAAATTTGTGTAATCTTCAGCAGCTTCAAGCCCTATGAATGGAAAGTACTATTTTACTGTGATTTGGATCCTTCAAACCTTCGCATTGTTATTGAGCGACGTTATTGCCAGTTCCGATCCATGGAACCCATCCTGAGCATAATGTTCGGCAGATCAATTTTGTCGAATTTGATTCAAATTAATGGTTAAAAGAGGCGTGGCATCTGCCGACTATTCGGCATTATAAGAGTTCTCATGTTAAAATGCTAGTTTGAGGTGCTTTGAGTTTCGATAATATCCATTATCTTCTCTATTTTATCCGTTATAAATATACCACTTATATACAACCTGTATTTCCTCATGGTCACTAAGATTATATTTAAGCAACCTGGCCGCCATTTCACCGTCACCTACGGTATACAGTGTGGCAAATTTAAAGGTTAGTGTAATTTAGCATGAGTAGACAATAAAGCCACTGTTTGGAAAGAACTCAAATAGTCATATAGCGTATGGATATGTGGCACATGTCGCATGAATTTTTAGGACTAGATGAGCAATATTATCATCCCTTGATAGACTTGCGGAAAAGCTGTCAGCAACCCTGGTAAAAGCAATTCCGAGGCAGATAACCGAAAAAATGTGAGCGGTGATATAGAGAAGGTCATTGACGATATTACTATTGATGGTTAAACGGCCAACACATATAAGGATAACATCCAGGCTGTTAGCCTCCTAGTGTACAGGGCTAAAACAATCAATTTTCACTTTCGAGAACGCTCAACGGCCAAGGTCTTACAAATACATAGACTGCGTCATCTTATTCTTAGATCTTTCTGTCAGTTGGCATGTAAAAACGGATTGCTACCAAACTCCAGAACTGGAAGAACCTGGACCTCATCTTACCCAAAAACCTTTGATACAGATAAATTTTCATGACAACTCCTTTGTAACCATGATCCTTGAAGACTGCTCTCACCTTGCTCTTAGTCTGCAGTACGAAAAGTACAAGTTTATGCTTCAAACTAGACTCAACGTATTTATGCGATAACCAAGAACACTAAACTAAGCAAATGTCATAAGTAATGTTTCTTTTACACAGACATTTACTCAAATTAGTTAAATGTAGATAATTAAGTCTATAAACCCAAAACACGAACTATAGACTAGTAGGACTTACCTGACAAAAGACAAACGATATTTTTTGAAACTGAAGACAACGCAGCCAGACGTGGCGAATAAAAATTACATCCAGAGCGAAATTTACAGCATAATCTAGTTGTTTCATAAGAAACATATCATAATATGAAAAATTCAATGACTACATAAACGTAATCACGACTGCCATTACATAGGGCGACACATTAGGTTTGGCGGAAATGTTGAGTTTAAATCCACCCGATAAGTTACACAAGAATGAACACGCCAGAAAGTCTGAGCCACACCATTTGATTCAATTCATTCCATTGTTTCAGCGTTACAATTTCTTGGGCTTCTCTCCGTCTTAAACTTTGAATACCTATTTTCCCAGTTATCTCATGTTCAGTTTTGATGATTTTGTGGTTAAGAACAACACTACTGCTACGACTACTACAGGTTACTTGTTCATTTACATAAGGTGAATTCAAATAAAAAGGACGGGCACACACTTCTTTTCAAGTCTAAAGCATTAGCTGTCTATGTATGAACGCTGAGAGCTTACCGAACAAAATGGATGAGTTGTGTGAACTAATGAATGCTAATGATATATAGAACATGGGCATCTTCTGAAATCATTAACATAGAGCTGTGAGTAACGGAAATATATTTGTTGCCCAACTGCAGAATAAACTGTAGTGCGGTACGGAGAAGTCATGTACCACGAATGCCTCGTATCATATCGAGTGTACACTAAAGATGTTATCAATCTTCATGAATCCGTATGATGGTCAGTGAGACTATCTAACACCTTGAGCTGTCAGACTGAAGTCTTGTACAGGAGGTCTAAAACTGACACTGAGTACGACAATCGTATGCTGGACGGATTGTCACGCTCTATTCATCTCAGATACATTCATATTCCAATTTAAGGGGACTTGCATCTACAAAAATCGGACTTCACTGAACACGTGTACAATGAAGGCGGTAACTTTACTCCTAGACCCTCTCAAGGAATTAGGATTGTTCAGAAATATAAATTTGGCAACACGATGGAAATATAATCAAATTCTGTGAAGCTTAGAGGGAATCTTCACAAACAGAGAATTCTCAGTTGATAACCTCGATAAACTAGTTTCTCTGTGAACAAGCGATCGCGCCTTCAAGTCTTCAAATTTAACCAATAAAACTGAGCTAAAATGTATTACTGGCTACCGGAACTAAAATGCAAATCGGATGGATGCGTTAGACTTAAAGGACACCACAGCCAGTAGGGCGGGAGACATACCCTTAACTTCATTTGTATAGTCATTGCGAATTCTTGTTTCCATCCGAATGCACTAATACTCCACTGCTATCAATTACAGACTCCCGTTAAGCGGGAAGTTATATTTTGTCTACAACCATTTTCACTATTTCTGGACCCGAAAACTGAAGTTAAAGTAAACTATTTCAAATAATTAAATAATTTCAGTTTGTGATGGCCACTTCAAATATCAACGTAATGATTGCTGAAGGGGTTATTATGAAATTAATATCATTTCCTTCATTTGGTGGTTGAATAAATTCTATTTTAAACGAGAAAGAGTAGGTCTGTATGGTCTGGCATCAATTTCAGTACAAGGAAAAGCAAAATTAAGCAAAGAATGATACTTTTTATTGAGAATTATATTAATATGTCGCTGTTTCTGAGGGCCTGAAAACGCTATGCGTATCATGAAGGATAGTGTAGTGAAGTTTGAAAGAAAGTTTTGCTAACGTTTATCGAGCGGGCTTTATAATCTAGGCTTCCCCTCAAGGCCATACGTGGGGACTGTGCAAGCCAACATTGATCTGATTGTTCGTCTGTTGGGAATAGAGCTCTGGAAGTAGTGTTTTGTCTTTCCAATGTTTCTTGTTATGTGTGTCATTTCTGATCAGTATCGGTATTTGTTGCCCCCATGCACCCAGTTAGGGTTCTTTTCATCAAAATAAGTTCCCAAACCCACACTAGTCTTAAATCTTGAACTCTAAGTCCTAATCTCGAGCCAAATTGTTAACTTGGCATCTCAACATTTAACCGTGATACTATATCCTAGTTCAATGTTTTAAATCCTTTCCCTAGCATAGTAAATTGCTAATTAGCATCTGATTTTTGATTGTGCGAATAAGTTATGAATTTGTCACATAAGGATTAACTTAAGAATTCTCTTATTGTTCTGCTATAAGAGCTCTGTTCTTATCTAACTGTCATTTTTAACATGTGTGGAATGCTTTTCTATTAATCAAAATGCGAGTATACTCGTTGTGCTACTCTATGGCATTCCTCCTCGAATCACGTGCTCGGTGCTTATTTTTGATTATTATCATTGTTAGCTCATTATTCGCGTACTTTTTCCATCTCACCAACTGATTTGTTATCCTGTGTTAATATCGCCTCGTCATCGTAATGTAGTATTGTAATGGACTGACATTTATGCCACGTTCTACTTTCATCATGACTAACTGATTAACTTTTAAGAGTTCAGACAATATCAGTGGCATTCACACAAAAGTCGTGAATAGTAGCCTACATGCATACTTGGTTTATTGTTTTCTGGCTTGAGAATCTCTGTAGAAATACAATGGCTAAGGTTCTGAGGATTCAATTCATTGTCAATTTGTTAGGTTGGAAGTTTTACATTTAATTTCTTTATTGGAAGATCAATGTAAATATATTCTTTCTACAAATTTTACAGCCATGTTCTGGGAATCGGTTTTTGCATATTCGGAGATCAATGATCTTCTATCACGACCGGTATGTAACATCCATGTTCTTCCTTCTTACGTATTCTTATAGGATCTCACAATCAAAGAACTTTTGGATGCTGATGATGTTTTACAAAAATGTCGTGAAAAAGATCCACGTTTGATTAATTTGTAAGTTTCTATTCATCTATCTGGAATTACTTATTATTTCCTTCCTTAGTTTATCAAGGCCAGATAATTTGGATTATCTGATAGATCTAGTTAGTCGAACACCTGAATCTTTTGTTTTTAATCAGGATTTGTATAGGTGAGTTCACGAATGACTAGTTGGTCCCCGAAAAGTCTTTTTATCAATTGTATTTGCTTGTTTTTCTTTTAACGATAATACTTTCATCTTTCCTAAACATAACAACCAACTAATCGGCTTAGACTTAAACCTTGCTACACCTGTTTGGTTTCCATCATCCAAGTAGTATCAACAGTTCTCACATTTTGATTCCAAGCCGATTACATCAACACATCGTAAGCAAATGTTGGGGAGTTTCATTTTCATGCAATTTAGTGATATAAGTCAGTAAAGTCGATACTTGCCATCCTGTTTTGGCACCTAAATTTAATGCCGTTCTATACTTTTTAGGTACATTCACATCATAGGCATTCCTGATAAAAGAAGTGAATAGTTAATTTCTTGTGAAGAAAGGGTTATATTCGTCACATGTCCATTTATAGAAAGCTATTTTGTGAGCTGTTAGAAGTATTGTAGCAGTTGTCACTTTCTATTTGCCCACACTCTTATAGCCTAATTTCTTAAGGAACCTGAATAGACAACTGGTTTAGTTGTGTCCTCAGAGACCTGGGGGTGTGATCGTAAAACCCAAAGCATGGCTGGTTGGGCCGGTTACGGATGGTGTTTTTGTGGCAAGTTTTCGATGTGTTTGCCTTGAACTTCAGGTCTTACTACCAGAGAAGAAAAGCAATGGGATGAGATGAGATACGACATTTTTGGTACCGATCTTTTACAACTTCTATTGGGAGTAAGGAGCATCGCTGTAGATATTCAGCCACATCTTACCGCTGACAAACCTCTGTATGGTCAGCGGCACGACTTTACCCTCAGATCTTAGATTGTTGCCTTTGGTTTTACCTTCTTTTCAACCGATCTATCTAGCATAGTACGCTCTAAAGTAAAATGTTTTCCAGAAAATACATCTTAATTGGGTTATCACCACCTTCAAACTCGAACATCAAGTTGTATTAGCAGCTACGGTTGTATTAGTTATGATAAACTATTTTTTAAAAAGTTGACTAACACGATTATAATACTTCCTACTTTTTTGGTTCAGATATACTAGTTTAGCATGTGAAATCCTAACAAATGATATCAATGAAATATTAGATGGGATAATTGAATTAACCGAATCAACAATTGATCAACCTACTCCTAATGAGTTACATAATAATGCTTGTAATAACAATAATAATAATCATATATTAGAGTCCAATCAGATAAACTGTTTATCATTACCATCTTCCTTCTCTTCACCTTTACCATCATCTTCAATGATTATCAATGATCATAATCTGAAAGTGATCAATAATAAAGATGATCAAAGTTGTAATAATATATTAATAGTTAACAATAATTCTCATACTGATCCTTATTCGAATGTCCATGATAATGATGCTGCTGCTGCTGATACTAATCATTTATCATCTCCAATATCTGTTATTAACGAATCATCTATTATCAATGATCATAATAGTCAATTATTTAACAACATTGATCATAATAATTTAAATGAATTATTGACATCTAACTTGAAACTTTCCTCACCGATGTTATTGCCAACATCCTCTTCGTCGACAATCACAACATCAAATGATGATGACCTCATTAAAGTGAATAATACATCAACGACTACACGTCGACGTATAGATTTGTTATTGCATTTTTTTCATTATTCTAATCAACCAGTTAATCCATTATCAGCTAGTTTTGTTTCACGTTTATTAATACATTTAACATTACATCGTGGAAATATTGTAAGTATTTATCTTTTTCTTAATTTTTTATCATTTTTATCAGAAGGGGTTTTGTGGAGATTTCAGTATTTTCATAGTTGAAAGCGTGAGTCAATTGAAGTTAGACCGTCATGGAAAACCTGGAAGCACTGGACGGCCGTCTCGTCCTATTGTGAGACTCCTCAGCAGTGTGCATCCACGACCTCGCCTCGCGAGATTCAAACCCAGGACCTACCAGTCTCGCGCCAGAGCACTTAAGCGATAGACCACTGAGCCTGCATCCGATGGTGTTTATGTCTAACTCTAATCAATCCACGAAGTTGGGCGACCGTTCACCGATTGTCTTCAGTGAGTTCTTATCTCACAACAGATGTGGTTTGGACTCCACTGGTTACTGCTTCTCACTAGAACTCCAGGATTTACCTCTCGGAGTCAGTCACTAGTGAGCATAGGACGAAACGGCCGTCCAGTGCTTCCTGGTCTTCCTTGGGGGTCTAGCTTCAATTGACTCATGCTTGCAACTATGTTATCGTTTTATTGGTTTTTCTTCTTTTGTTTCTTGTTTTTTTGTTACCCTTATAGGGATTAATTCTAGGATTCATTCCATATTTTCGATTAAAATATTCTTGATTTATGTTACCATATTAGATTGATAAGTTTACGAGACTTTTATCAGCCTTTGGTCATAGTACGTGGAAGTCCATGAAATATGGTTTATCGACGTAGAAGACGTTTATTAGCTACTAGTGTTTGGTTGTATATGTCTTTAAAATATTGTAAGGTGTGGTTAGGAAGTTTGAATAATTTTTTCTGGTTAGCGTTTTTTTAGCGAGTTGGTTTTCTACGTGATGGGGTCGCTAACCCCATGCCCAACCCTCCTCCTTTACCCGGGCTTGGGACCAGCAGTAGCCCCCGAAGGAGCTACAGGCGGAGAAGCTTTGGAGGATGTGAAAACCTTTACATATCTAGGCAGCATCATTGATGAACACGGTGGATCAGATGCAGATGTGAAGGCGCGGATCGGCAAAGCAAGAGCAGCATATTTACAACTGAAAAACATCTGGAGCTCAAAACAATTGTCAACCAACACCAAGGTTAGAATTTCCAGTACAAATGTCAAGACAGTCCTACTGTATGGGGCGGAGACGTGGAGAACTACGAAAGCCATCAACCAGAAGATACAAGTGTTTATTAATAGATGTCTACGCAAGATACTTCGGATCCGTTGGCCAGACACTATCAGCAACGAGTTACTGTGGGAGACAACAAACCAGATTCCAGCGGAGGAAGAAATCAGGAGGAAGCGCTGGAAGTGGATTGGGCACACTTTGAGGAAATCACCCGATTGCGTCACAAGACAAGCCCTCACATGGAATCCTAAAGGTCAAAGGAGAAGAGGAAGACCAAAGAACACATTACGCCGAGAAATAGAGACAGACATGAGAAGAATGAAGAAGAACTGGATAGAACTAGAAAAGAAGGCCCAGAACAGAGTGAGTTGGAGAATGCTGGTCGGCGGCCTACGCTCCATTGGGAGTAACAGGCGTAAGTAAGTGATTAAGAAGTAGCAACCCTGAAGTCCAGCATAGATTTTAAAGAATAGGTTAATGAGACTGGGAATCTTCACCAACTAAGGTGTCTAATTATGTAGTACTTAAGCTAAATAGTCATAAATATTTTTATCTTTCGACTGGAATAACTATGTTTATGTTACAGATTATACCTTATTTACGATCATCAAAGGGATTTCTCGATCAGTTATTCTTATCTTTGGATTCTTCCGCTGTGGCCGATTTAATTATACAATTATCTCAACAAGAAACAAAACAACAACATATTATTTTTGAAGTAAGCGTTTAAGTTTTTTTATTTTGTTAAAAGATCTTCTACAGAAGCTTGTTTATTGTATACAATCGACATTTTATAGCAAGTAATAATCCCTTCCATTGATTGGTCAGTGAGTAGGTTGGAAGAAATTTAGGGACGGCTAGACCAAAATGTGGCACAAATCACTGACAGTTAGATTGAGTCATGTTAGTAGGTGTAGACTACCTGGTTGGAATCCGCGAGATAATAGCAATCGATGTTTAGAGACCTTGAATGACATTACTGAAAATCGTTCACAATGGAGAAGGTACATCTACTCTTTGTGTTCTAATCTTCTGAATTCTTCATGTCTCTATCTTTTTTCTCTTTCCAAATTTATTTCACTGGATTATACTCCTTCAATAACATCTTCAAACCCTAATCTTTTGGATTACTGCTTATACTCTTACTACTTCTACCACTATGGGATTTGAATCGACAACTGCATCTCTGTGTTAATGTGGTATGACAACTCGAACTGATATACGTACGTACGAAGTTCTACGTTGTAACTGACTGACTGACTTTTCTGTTGATAAGTGTTGGTCAGATTCTTTCTATCAAGTAGCAATTTTGTCTGTAGTCTAACTCGACATCATGTATGTGCACTGTATTTTGATGTTATGTGGCTGAAAGAATTCAGTAGAAAACTTCAGATCTGGGTTTCATGCTAGTTTTTACTTGTTAGTGAGGTGATTTTAGCCTGAGACTATCAGACATTGCACAAACAGTAAGGCATCAGTAAGCCTTCTGTAATTTTCTGTTACATTCTTTATAAAAGTAAAATGAACCGTTTCAACTATGATATATTTATCTCAGTCGTATCATCAATCATATCTTACCTTCTATTTAGAATGGATGGGTTGTAGCTAATAGCTTGTTCTAAGATGTCCATTTCTTCTTATTTGGGACTCGTCAGTTGGATGTACCCAAGTCCTAATGTTGATGCCCATAATAGGACTCAAATCCACTATCTTTTATAATGTGATGTAATGGAATAAAATATATTTATGTTGCTAATGTGCGGAAATCGTGCTTCTTAGTTTTAAAGTCTTTTTTTGAATACAAAACCAGTCTGTGTTATTTATCGTTTGCAATGTTTTTGTGAATGCCTCTATTTTCGCTACATTGCATATCATCAAGTACCTAGTTATTATTGTAATTTAATACCTGTCATAGTGTACATTTTAAGTTCCTGTCGTGTGGAGCGCATAATCTAAAATCATTTCTAAGTTCACTAAAGTTTACCATGACTTGTCTAAAGTGTTTCAGGTTTATGTACTTGGCTTCGAGTCATATAACTCATGTGTGGGCTAGTATTACAACACGGCTACCTGTTATATCGTATGGACTCGTAATATATATGGACGTGCAATTGGAGAGGTAGTGGAGTTTACTGATCGGATGCAAATGATACTTGAAATACGTACGAGCAGTCTTGGGTGCTATTCGGTCCTTCCTATCTGCCTAGCCCAGCCAGTTAAGTCCAGAACACAAATAACAGCCTCGACAATATGAATCATTATTTACAAACATACTGGGTTTTTATACAAACCAAAGTAATCAATAAACTGATTATAACTCAAGAATCGTATGATCATAAATCAAAGATCAAAATAATAGAAAACACGAATATGAATAATTTAGTTACGTAACAACTGTACAATAAGAAATAGTCATAATACATTGGTCGATAAATAGTCCTTAGAGTTATCATTCATAATTCACCAGGGGATATAACACCTCCCCTTTTTGAGAAATCCGGATTTTTAATTTCTCGAATTCATCCCCCCCCACGAAAGACTGTTGGATCCTCATGAACCCAAGTTACCATTATTGTGACATTATTTAAAACATATTCGTCGTATTTAACTGAGAATCCACGAGAACTTATTAGATCGTGAGGATCGACGACATTCGATTTGAGGTCACCAGCGTCTGATTCTTCTGAAACAGTTTCCTTGAATTTACCCGGAACCTCATTAGTAAATAATGAATCATTAAGATAATCAGTATCTATGAAAGTTGTATTGGATTCTTGATTATCATTTAATGCATCCGATATTTTTCTCCCATTTTTATAAGAGATTTGAACTGGAACATATGAATCAGCAAAATAATCGGGATCTGGCAGAACAATTCGATAATCCTGATCATTAGATTCATTAAAAAAATGTTTGCATCATGACTGGTTTGATTTGGCGCCACTGTATTCACTAAACTGTTTGGTTTGTTCCCCGTTTCTTCGTGGGCGGGTACTGCAGCAATTTTATGGGCGCTTAATAAGATATTGTCTTTTTGTGAACTGGACGATTCATTGTTCGCACGTTTTGTTTCAGGGATAGTAGGATTTGAGCCACGTATAGGGCATGCCTCTGAAACAGACAATACTGGACTACTGGGCTGATCATGTGTGACTGCTAGTGTTTCGCTTAAATTACTGCTTTTCACGGATTCATAGAGGCTTTCACTGGCATATTCATTTGTTCTGCAATCGATTTCCAGCTCTGTACGCAATTTTGAAATTAATGCGTCAACTTCCGTTGCACCCCCAAAGCATGGGTGATTCAGCAGCTTTGCATGTAGCTTGTCAATGAATTCCAATTGACTCTTCCTAAAGCGCTGTTCTTGTCGCTGGATTAGCAACTGAAATTGATCGGAAGTTAGAGCCATTTTTTTACCCCGTCGCCAGTTGTTATATCTTATGGGCCCGTAATTTATATGAACGCCAATTTAGAGAGGTAGTGGAGTTTACTGATCGGATGCAAATGATACTTGAAATACGTACGAGCAGTCTTGGGTGCTATTCGGTCCTTCCTATCTGCCTAGCCCAGCCAGTTAAGTCCAGAACACAAATAACAGCCTCGACAATATGAATCATTATTTACAAGCATACTGGGTTTTTATACAAACCAAAGTAATCAATAAACTGATTATAACTCAAGAATCGTATGATCATAAATCAAAGATCAAAATAATAGAAAACACGAATATGAATAATTTAGTTACGTAACAACTGTACAATAAGAAATAGTCATAATACATTGGTCGATAAATAGTCCTTAGAGTTATCATTCATAATTCACCAGGGGATATAACACTACCCAAAATAAAATAAACGTTATGAGGTTTGAATCTAGGGAGAACTCATTCGAGGCCAATTACTTTTAAAAAATAAGCCACCGCTTCTTTAACTTATCTTTCTCTACTTGGTTTATGGTGTAGTGAACGAGAATACCAGTGGGGTCGATCAAATGTATTTGAGTGTAAAATTACAGAATCTCTTACTAAAATCCGAGAACCATACAGTAAGTACTTGATTTACAAAACGTCAATTAATTGTCGCATACTTGATTGTTCCTTCGTTTTCACACCAATCATTCTCTGTTCTCGTTCTCTTTTTTTCGATCTTCTTAACCTTCTGCTGCCAGATATTTCATTTCAATTGATGATACATACTACTTATATCTGTCAACATTAGTAGTACACACCACAATGGCAGCTAAATGGGAGTATCTCATTCATATTAATTTATTCATGTAATATCCTTCGATGAATATGTTGGGTATAATCTACATATTTGTTTTATCTCCTGTTTAAATATCTTTTTTTAATTGTTAACTATCTTATTTTCCATATCTTCTTAGTGGTTTAAAACGGATCGACTTGTTGAACGTCTTATTGAAAAATTTGATCCAACCTATTCATCTGATGTAAGTCTTTTGTTGCATTACTAGTAGCTTTCTATAGTTATAAGTGTTATTATTATTATTATTGTTTCATGTTATATCTAGTGTGGGTTTTGTCAAAAGAATAATGCTAATGACATACAAGTGTGTCAATTTGACATTGCGTATCATCATCTACATACTTTTACACTTAAGAAGATTCAAAGCAGATGAATCGAAATAACAAGTTTTCAGTGCTTCTGGTTAATTTTATATAGTTGAGATCATGAGTCAATTTTTGCTAGACCACTATGGAAAACCTGGAAGCACTAGACGACTGTTTCGTCCTATTGTGGGACTCCTCAGCTGTGCCCCGCAAGATTCAAACCCAGGACCTACCAGTCTCGCTCCAGAGCACTTAACCGATAGACCACTGAGTCGGTCGGCATCCAACGGTGTTAATGTCTAACCTCAACTAATCCACGAAATTGCGCGACCAACTTCCTTTGTACTTAGATAGATACCTGTCTCTACCTGAAACGGATTAGTTCCACTGGTCACGACTTCTCACTAGAACTCCAGGAATTACCTCGTGGAGCTAGTCACTAGTGAGCATGTGATCATTATCAGAAGGGGATTTCGTGGAGATTTTAGTAATTTTATATAGTTGAGATCATAAGTCAATTAAAGCTAGACCACCATGGAAAACCTGGAAGCATTGGACGGCCGTTTTGTCCTTTTGTGGGACTCCATAGCAGTGGGCATCCACGATCCCGCCTCGCGAGATTCTGGTTAAGTTTATTCAGCTGTAATCAACGTAGAGCCTGCGAAAAATGTTCTTTGACTTAGGATCTCATACTGTACCAGCGCCCCCAAATGCCCTGGTACGGCCGAGAGTGGGGAGAGTCCACTCCCTCGCGAAATGCTCTCACATGGCCAGCGAATATATAGCCTCTGCCAGGGAAGTCCTACTCACTGCCTTCTCGTGGCGGAGGTGTTGTTTACGAAAAGCGAATGTCCGGCGCTTTAACCGGGTCGGTGGACACGGAGGGTCCACCTAAGGGAGTTGGAAAACCCTGATTCCAAACCAATGGTGCACATGGCTCCAGTATCCTGATGGAATGAATGGCGAATGAACCTGCTATTGGTCACCGGCTACCATGGGACTGTATCTCCTCACGATGCTCTACTGCCTTGTGGATCAAACCTTCAGGTCAAAGGCTCGAGGTGTGGGCAATAAGAAAACCACCTGCTTCAGTCTGGGCACCTGGACAGTATCACAGCCCTCACACAAATCAAATGAGATTTGGTGCTTCCTTGTACCAATATTTATGTGTTTAAATAAATAAATAAATAAACATTGCTGGTGAGATTCACTGTGAAATCACAGTCAAAGAGTTTACGGAGAACGGAGTACTATTTTTGACAGAACGTCCATTACTCGACTTATTAGGGCTTGATTGGATAGAAAGGTTGAAATTATCAGACCGTCCCATAAACTCGATCTGTAACAACGTCAGTATGCGTAAAGTTGAGGATCCAACGTTGTTTCGTGGAGGAGGATAAAGTCGGCAAATGTAGTCTGGATACCAACCCCGAATCTTGAAACAAGGGAGGAGGTGTCGGGATGCTCCTGAAAATTTCTCGCAATAGACATGACAAGCTCAGGAAGCATTTTATCCAATCAGCGTCTGATTAGAAGTTTTGCTTGAAATATTGCAAAAATTAAAAGTCTCATGTAGAGGTTCTGATTGGCTGATTACTACACTGATACTATGTTTAGTAATATTCTAGAATTTCCAGGAAAATCCAAGGTCTTCTAAAATACTATAAAAACTCTATATTTTCTGTACATAAACGAACCTTTGGAGCAAAGTGCTTCTCATATATTTTGCGCCTTTTCTCTCTTGTTCAAGTCACTGTGTAGTTCTAGCTTGGGGGTTACAAGACTAGATTAAAGATCCGAGTATAGCGTTCAATCAACAATACTTATCAGTGGCGATGGGGATGGGATACTTATAATTCATCAGAAGCAGGGTTTTTGGGGACAGGCACATTTTCTGTATCAGGGCTTCCATGACTCAGTATCGGTAGAACAATGCTTATGTAGCGATTTAGAGAAAAAAAAACTCTTGGAGTTAACTAGTAGTAATTAACACCAAACTATTCTCATTAACCTTATTTTTCCTTTACAAATAAACTTACAATTTTATTGAATAGGTTAGTAGTATCCAGCCGTTTATTTATTATTTATTTAAACACAAATATTGGTACAAAGGGGCACCAGGTACATATGCGCCACACAAATCTCACTCGATTTGTGTGAGGGCTGTGATACTGCCCGGGTGCCCAGACCGGAAGAGGCCACACCGAGAGCCTTTGACCTAAAAGTCTGATCCACAAGGCAGTGGGGCATCGTAAGGAGATGCATTCCCATGGTAGCCGGCGACCAACGATTGATTCATATGCGATTTGTTTCCTCAGGATACTGGAGCCAGCCCATGTGCACCATTGGTTTGAAATCAGAGTTTTCCAACTCCCCTAGGTGAACTTTCTGTATCCACCAACCTGGTTAAAGCGCTGAACATTTGCTTTTCGTCCTCTCAATTTCGTAAACAACAGTAATGCCGTGAGAAGGGATTGAGTAAAACTTTCCTGACAGTAGCTGTTAGAGCGTGGCCATATGAAAGCATTTTGACAGGAATAGCTGACTCTCCCCACTGTCGACCATACCATAAAAGGTCTGAAATAAAAGCAATAACCAACTGTTTTATAGTGATCTAATTTTGTTGTGTTTGTTATGAGATCTCATTGTCATAGATTAGACGAGATACCATGTAAACTCGTGGCTGAACACTAATAATGGGTTTCGAGTTAGAATAAAACAACTGTTTTATACTCTATGTCTTCTTTGTACTGTTATCAGCAGCGAATCAGTGGCTGACTGGTTTAAATAGTTGACTCGTATTAATACTGATTAACCCGACCGTTGCTGCTACCTTGACGTGGTGGTCGGGCTTGCCTATCGTGATGAAGCAATCGAGCTATGCTGACTGGAACAATCGTTCCTCGAGGTCCTACCATGCCAGACAGGTCGGTTGAAGAGCGGTGAGACTAAAAGCAGCAAACCAAAGGTCCGAAGGCGAAGTCGTACTGCTGACTGTACAGAGGTGTGACAGCAGTAAGGTGTTTCCTTCAGACAACCAGCATGACAGCGATGCTGCCTTCCCACAAGGAGGGGTGGGGTTAGAAAAGGTCGACCCTAAAAATGCACACCTCGCCTTATCCCACGGATATCCGTCTCCGGCGGTAAGGTCCCAACAAGTACGGAGCTAACACAAAAACTACCCACAAAAAGGTCGTGTGTGACCGACCTCAAGCAGTTGTCCCTTGGGCACTGCGGTCACGCTCTCAGGTCATTAAGACCACTTCTAACCCAATTTCCTTTTCAGGTACCTCTAGAAGAACCTTTCCACGGTTGGGCAACCGGGAAGTGATAACTGCCCTCATACGTCTAACAGCACTCAAGACCACTGTATTCATAATCGATCTCCTTCTTCAATTCCTACTATTCCTTCTACCTTGACTTTCAACACTAAACTTCCTGTTCCGGTTTCCTCCTCAAGTGTCACCATGACCAACGATTCTAAAGCGCGAAACGCTGTCCCAGGTCTACTAAAACCTCGCTCCAAACTACACATTGGAGCCTTCAACGTACGTACCCTATGTCAAATCGGTCAACAGGCCTCCTTAGCTAAAACCCTAGAATCTCGTACCACTGATGTATGCTGTGTCTCCGAAACACGCATACAGGACCCCAGTGTGGTCATTCACTTGACCTCACCTCGCCAAAATGGACAGCCAACGAAATACAACCTCCGTGTATCTGGCCACCCGTTGGCTAGTTCTCGCGGACTTGCAGGTGTAGGCATAGCACTAAGCACAAGGGCAGAACAGGCACTACTAAAATGGATCCCCGTTAACAGTCGCCTGTGTGTTGTGCGGCTAAATGGCTCCGTAAGAACTCGGAAGGATAGGGACACACGTCGTTGCCTTTTCGTCGTTTCTGCCTACGCTCCCACTGACTGCAGCCATGATGAAGTGAAAGATGACTTTTACAGAAAGCTGAGCGCTCAGACATAGTAGTCGTAGCGGGTGACTTTAATGCCCAGGTAGGTAGCTTGAATCAAACAGAAAGACATTTAGGTTGGTGTTTTAGTATTCCGGCTGAACGAACCGATAATGGTGATCGTCTGTTGCAACTATGCTCAGACAATCGTTTATTTTTAGCAAGCACTAATCTTAAACATAAGGAGAGACATCGTCTGACATGGCGACCACCTGCACCAAACCAACGATGGACTCAAATAGACCATATTGTCATCAGTCATCGTTGGAGAGGCTCAATAGAAGATTGTCGCTCGTATTGGAATACTTGTTTAGACTGTGATCACGCTTTAATACGAGCGCGCATTTGTCTGCGCCTCAATGGACGCAGGAAAAGTACACTAAGAAGACCCATTAGGATTGAACTGGAGGACGAGAAAGCCAAATGCGAATTCCAGAAACAACTGAGTTCACATCTAGGCAGTTCTGTAAACAAGACTGACCCAGATACTGCTTGGAAAGACATATGAACAGCTGTGGAAACAGCGGTAACATCTATTAGTCATTTAAACCATAGGGCTCCAAAAAACCAATGGATTTCTTCTAAGTCTATTTCACTGATGGATTCGCGTAAACTCATCCCATCAGGCTCTGAACATGACGAAGAGCGTAAAGAAATTAGATCTAGGTTAACTAAAAGTCTAAGGAACGATCGTGAGCAGTAATGGGTAACGAAAGCAAAAGAGATGGAAAAGGCAGCGGCTGTAGGCAACACCAGGCAACTATTCAGACTAATAAAAGAAACCGGAATTAATAAGTCAAGTGTAAGTGAGACAATCTCGCAAAAAGACGGAACCCTTATCTGCTCTCAACCCAAACGTTTAGAAAGATGGGCGGAATACTTTAAGGAGCAGTTTAGCTGGCCTTCAGCTACTGCA